CCCTGTCCACTGACGCGGGCTGGGCCCCACACGTCCATGTGGAGAGTCTGCAGGGGAGCAGTCGTCGGGGGAAACGAGGAGGAGTGGGGAGCGGCTCGCTGCCGCCCCTCGACGCAAGGAAGGCAGGGCGGAGCAGGCGAGGGCGGGAGGGGAGGCAGAGACCTGGGAAGACCAGAAACAAGGAGGCGGGAGTGTATGCCACGAAGGCGTGGCAAGGAGGGGTGACCAAGGCGGTGGTGCCACAGGAGAGTCTGGTGCGTCAGGAGGCGACACGAGCAGGGGGCTGCTACCGGACCTAACGCGGACTCCTGAGCAGACGCAGCTACCTGAGGAGACTCAGTAGTCAGTGTGTACAGACTCGACCAAGGCTGACGGGTGAACATGGCCAGGTGACAGCCCGTCCGTGTACACGTGCAGATCGACACACGCTGACCCGCAGGAGTGGTGGTAGTGACCATCGCATCCTGGAGGGCAGCGGCACTCACCAAGTTTGAGAGAACGAGGGGAGGTGAAGACCTGACAGTGAGCCGGACAGAACCGCCGGACACGGGAGAACAGTGGAGGAACGGGCAAGAACTGGGCCCCCTGAGGGGTCAGCCAGTCTGTGTGGAACAGGTGCAGGGAATGGAGTGAGGGTGGTACTGTCGCAAAAGAAACAGTGGAAAGCACCTGAGTCAAGCATGAAGGTGTGTAAGGCCTCAGCAGGCGCAGTACCAGGGAGAGCAGACGCACTAGCACCTAGAGCAGCAGCCTCTATACCTGGGTCGGGCGGCACACACAGGTAATAGCCATTTTCAGCACCAACAGACAAGGCATACATGGCAGCAAGGATAGCATCATAGTCAAGAGCAAAGATATCAACTCCAGACCTACGCAGCTCTAGCCAGCGGGGGCGCTCAGCCTCGTCGCCAATCTCTGCGCGCCAAGCATCATCAAGGCGGGAGAAGCAGCGGTGCTGTGTGTGAAACTTCCCACATGTCTGACCAGCGTGGTCACCTGTGCGAATGACATACGGGCAGCGAACACTACCCCCAGACGCCCCACGCTGAGAAAACCACTCACAAAGCTGCTGGGGCGTAGGGGTCTCGCTCCGACGCTGCTGCTGCTGCCCCTGGCCACCGCGAAAACCTCCCCTCTGAGAAGCATCCCCCTATACCTGGTATATTGGTACTCTAACTCTCTTGGGTGGAACTTGTGAGACAATTGTGATTGAGTTAAGTTTCTATGGCAGCATACCCCCTTGTGGGCCGAAATTCATAACTCAAGTTATACTCCATTTTTTTATACGATTCTAATTGGGAAAGATAGCCACGGTCAAGGGCTACAACATACTCGCGTTTGAAAACATTCTCATAGTGAAATGTTTGTCGACGACGTTTCTTATGAAGTAGACAATTCTGTCCAGAATTATAGACCAACGATTCTGAGTCATTTCGGCCCCTAATCTTCCTAGACTCCGTCCTTAGTCTCTAACAAGTGGTATCAGAGCTGATTAAGGACTTTTTGGAGAGTCTAATGAGGTGTGAAGAACCTTCTAGACCCACCATGGCCTGTGGGTGTGCCTAAGTGGCGTTCTAAATGTTGGATGTGAGTTCGGCTAAGGGGAAACTCTGCCGAAATTTCGTTGGCGCCGACACTTGTGAAAATATTGTGGGACTTTGGTGTGGACAGCAAAGGGGGGAGCTGAAACCGGACATTAGGTGAAGATAAGATGAGTCAAGGGAGTGGAGAAGCAGCTGAGAAGAGGAATGAGCCGCCACCATCCAAGATTGAGGCATTGGATGGTTCCAACGACGAGGAATGGAGTGGGCGGATAAGGAGTGCCTTCAAATGGTACAATCTACTGAAGTTGGCTATGGGGGAAGAGAAGGTACGGGAGGAAGGAGACGCACGCAATCGTTGGATTGAGAAGAGCGCGGTGGTGTTCGACCTCATCATACAATCGGTCAACAACGACATGCTCCAGCATATCAAGGACTTGGTGGAGCTGGATGACTCTGGACCAAAGGCATGGAAGCTACCATCACAAAAAACCTTGGTTTTTGAAGGGGTTCGAATGGGGGTACAGTTCAGGTGTTTTGGTTGGCGAAGTTCCGAAACAAAAATGCGACCAAGCACGGGATAAAATCGGAACGCGCTTGTTTGTTGGAGTCGAAATCGAATTCGCGACTCCGGTACATTGTCGTTTATTTGGAGCGTGCCAAAATGGTTGTAAATTTGTAATTGGTTTTCTTAGCTTTGACTTCTGTAAAATGTGATTGCTGGAAAATATGCTGGCCATTTTATTACAAGATACTTGCATTCCAAGATCTAATGTACGCCAGCTCCTCCCTCTCTCCACGCATTTTTGTATGGAACAACAGAAGCAACCTTGCATACCACTCCTCTCTCCGACCATACCTTACACCCTCCACTGCAACATCCGAGTACCATGGCCTCTCAAAACAGTCAGGAGTCGCTCGAACAAAGTGAAAAACTCTTGAGAAGCTGGCGTCGTTTGCCGCAGGGATTGCCAGCGATGCACGGGCCTGCATAACAATTGGTGGTAGTCATCACTGATACTGGCCAGTCAAATGATGGTTGATTGCACAAACATTCAAGTACTTACTCGAATCTTGGTGACGCATCCAGCATAACGTATTAACGCATCCTTGAGGGCAGCTTGGGCACCAGGGTGTTGCTTGGCCCACTTCCTTGCAAACCAGTTCGTGGAGGTGGGTTCTTCTGGTAACTCCACAGGGAGGAAGTATGACTCCTTAATAAGAGTCTGTGTGTCGCTCTCAATTGCCTGCCAAAATATGATAAGGATTTTATTCCATTCTGCATTCATATCCATGCAATTCAAGTACTAAACATGTTGACCTGCCGCATGGCTGTGTCCCGGCCAGCAGGATCGTCCACTGGCACCACATCCGGAATGCGCCTAGCATGGAACTTCATGATCTGCCCATCTACATTGCGCTTGTTGGACCGACGGTAGATCCTCTTTACCAACGGTCCGTGCAAGTGCTCAAACATGTTGGTGCTGAATTCGGTCACATGACCCGCTCGACGAATGGAGTCGACGTAATGCGACATGAGATGGGTTTTCACAAGGCACCAAGAGGATGGTTGCTTTGGAAAGGCAGCCTGCAACTGCTCAACCAGCCTGATGGGAGTGGGGAATGACAACACGTGCAAACACATCAGAGTCTACTTATTCATATGGCTTTCCTATTCTAGATCCTTTCCTATAAAAGTTTAGCAGCAACATCCTCACCAGATTGCCTACTACAAGAGCACATTTACAGTAGCCAAGCATTCATCCCATGCACAGGGGTTTACATGCATGGTATTAGTACCGGGACGTCATATTTTTCAGCTCCCGGAGGGACCGCTCAGTGTGCCCCTGTGGTTGGGAGCACAGGAGGTACCATCCAAGATAGGCACGAACTGCATCCATCTGGGGCTGGCGAAGCAGGCCGGCAAAAACAAACACCATGACCTGCAGAATTCGGGGATAGCAGCAAAGGGGAGGGTTAGGACAGATGGTGTGAGGAGTAGGGACAAGGAGTGGACCTCGGTGTGGAGGCCCTGGTGGTGGTCAGCGACAGCAGCAGCAGCGTCGGAGCGAGACCCAGTCGCTCCAGCAGCTCCGTGAGTGGTTGGTTCAGCGTGGGACGGGTAGGGGTAGTGAGACCTGCCCGTATGTCATTCGCACGGGTGTCCGTGCGGGCCAGACATGCGGGAAGTTTCACACTGAGCACCGCTGCTTCTCCCGCCTTGACGATGCCTGGCGTGCTGAGTTTGGTGACGACGTCGAGCGCCCTGGCTGAACGGATTTGCTTAGGTCGGGAGTTGCTATCTTTGACCTAGACTATGATGTTGTTATCTCTGCTATGTATGCTTTGTCTGTTAGTGCTGAGGGTGACTGTTACCGGTGTGTGCCGCCTGACCCAGGTATAGCTGCTGCTGCTCTAGGTGCTAGTGAGTCTGGTACTCTCCCTGGTACTGCGCCTGCTCAGGCCTTGCACACCTTCACGTTGGACTCCGGCGCCTCGCGCTGTTTCTTTCGTGACAGCATCACTCTCACTCCTCTCCCTGCACCTGTCCCGGTCAGACTGGCTGACCCCTCAGGGGGCCCGGTCATTGCCCGTTCCTCCACTGTCCTCCCGTGTCCGGCGGTTCCATCCAGCTCACTGTGAGGCCTTCACCTCCACTCGTTCTCTACGAACTTGGTGAGTACCGCTGCCCTTCAGGATGCGATGGTCACTACCACCACTCCTGGGGGTCAGCGTGTGTCGATCTGCACGTGCACACGGACGGGGCGTCACCTGGCTACGTTCACTCGTCGGCCAGGGTCAAGTCTGTACACGCTGGCTACCGAGCCTCCTCAGGTCGCTGCGTCAGCTCAGGTGTCCGCGTCAGGTCAGGTAGCCACCTCTTGCTCGTGTCGCCTCCTGTCGCACTAGACTCTTCTGTGGCACCACTGCCTGGGTCACGCCTTCGTGGCATGCACTCTCGGTTTCTCGTCTCTGGTCCACCCAGGTCTCTGCCTCCCCTCCCGCCCTCGCCTGCCCCGCCCTACCTTCCTTGCATCGAGGGGCGGCAGCGCGCCGCTCCTCACTCCTCCTCGTTTCCCCTGACGACTGCTCCCCTGCAGACTCTCCACATGGACGTGTGGGGCCCAGCCTGTGAAGAAACAGGAATGATTGACTAAGAAAAGAGTTGGGTACAAATATGAAACCCTAGGAAACTGTACCCCATAGTGTCTACCCCACTACAGCCTAAACAGACTATAGCATATAAGTGTGACACACCCCCATAGGCAAAGTGGGGGAGAACAAGGGGTCACAAGACCAGTTAAACAAAGCAAAGCAAAGCAAGCTCAGGTTGGATCACAACGTCACCACACATTCCGAGCATAGGGTCAAAGGCCACAAAGCCAGTTCACATGCAGGGTTATATATAAAAGGTAAACAAGCAGGTGCAGGTATATATAGATCACAGTACAAGTAAAGTCAAGAGGTAAGCAAGTGAGGCCAAGTAGGCACAAGACCTAACATAGTACAGAAGCGCTGATGATCACAAGGCTGAAGTGCCTTGGTGAAGATATCAGCAGTGTTGGCCTGAGAGGCCACGTAAGCAAGGCGCAGCTGACCACGCTGCTGCAGCTCACGAGCAAGGAAGTAGCGAAGAGCAATGTGCTTTGTTCTGTGCTCCAGTCTGTGCTCCCGACACAAGGCCAACATGGCCTTGTTGTCTACGTACAGAACTGGAGGAGAACGAGGCGGCTCTCCCAGGTCAGTCAGCAGGTAGGTGAGCCAGCGTAACTCCTGTGCAGCCATGGCCCCTGCGTAGATCTCAGCCTCACAGCTGGAGCTGAGAACAGAAGACGAGCGGGTAGACCGCCACAAAACAGAGCCGGAACCAAGGCTGAAGGTGTAACCCTGTGACGACCGCTGCGTAGCCAGGTCGTCAACCCAAGACGCGTCTGCGTGACCAGTGAGGACCACTGGACTCCGCCCTCCAAGCACTAGCCCCATGCCCGACGTACTGCACAAGTAGCGCAACACCTTCTTCGCTGCAGCCATGTGCTCTGGTCGGTGTCTCCCAGGAGCAACATAGCGTGCCAAGATGCTAAGAGGGTATGCCAGGTCAGGACGAGTGCAGGTCATCAGGTACATGAGGCAGCCAACAAGCTCTGGGTACGGGCCACTCGGCTCTACGGACTCATCCGAAGGCAGAGCTGAGAGCGAGTGGCGAGTAGACAGAGGAGTGGCCTGAGGCGAGGAGTACGTGAAGTCGAAGCGCTGAAGGACCTGCTGCACCATGTGTGACTGAGTCAGGGTAATGGTGTGCCGTGCTCTGTCCCGGGTGATCTGCAAGCCAAGATAGCTGCGCACTTCACCCAGGTCTGTGCACGTGTGTCTCTTCTGTAGCTCGGACTTCACGTGGGCGAGTCCAGCAGTGTCAGCCGTAGCAAAGACCAAGTCGTCGACGTACACGAGGATGTAGAACTGCGGCAGCAAAGTGTCGGTGCGCAGAAACAGCGACAGGTCAGCAGTAGAAGGAGCAAACCCAAGAGCCGCAAGCGTAGTCCTCAGTGTGTCGTGCCACTCACGGGGCGCCTGGCGGAGACCGTAGACTGGCCGCCGGAGGCTCCACTGGGTACTTGAAAGAAACGACCCAGTGAAGCCAGGTGGGCGGCGCAGCCAGATCTCCTCGTGCAGGCTGCCCTGTAGGAAAGCTGTGTTGAAGTAAAGAGAGTGTAGCTCGTAGTCACGCTGAGCAGCAACGTGCAGCAGAACCCAAAGAGTGGTCATCTTCGGGGTCGGGGAGAAGGTCTGAAAGTAGTCAACTCCCTGCCGCTGACTGAAGCCTCGAGCCACGTAACGCGCCTTGAAGACAGGCGGAGAACCCGGCGGCCGCTTCACCCTGAAAATCCACATGCCACTGACGATGTTCGCCCCAGGTGGGGGAACCTCGTCGACGTAAGTGCCTGTGGACTTCCAGGAAGCCATCTCTGCATCCATGGCTGACTGCCACTGAGAGGAGTAGGGACCCTCTATCGCCTCTGCGTAAGAGCGGGGGGTCGGGATGTCTGGTGCATCCGGGTCTCCCTCAGGGGCAAGCAGCATGGACACGAGATGAGGTACAGCAGCGGCAAAGCACTCAAACTCCTCCTGCCTGTCCTCAAGGACGTCCGTGCTAAGAGCACACTCACCCCCGACGGACGGAGGACAGACAGACTCAGACTCTGCAACAAGACTAGCTGCATAGTCGAGACGACAGTGAGCAGCGAAGTCGACAAGCTCAGCAACTAAGGCAGACGCAGCAGTGGACTCAAAGGAAGGGTCAGTGACAACAGTGGCCAGGAGACGCGTGACAGTAGGACTGGCAGCACGAAGGGAGTCAGACTCCGAGTCAGCAAGAGTAGGAAGAGAGGACTCTGGAGGAGACGGCAAAGGGACACGCTGCGGAGCAGTGGAAGGACGCAGTGCCATGTGGTGCGTGCCGGGGACCGCAGGATGACGCGGACGTGGAACACGACGACCAGTGCGAGCAGCACGAACAGGTGACGCAGGACGCGACTCAGGCTCACGACGCTCAGCAAGACCTCCAGTAGGAGCAGCGTAGGGAGAAGGAGCAGGCAGTGGGGAGGCCAGCTGTAACTACGACTCGGACTGGACAGTCGGTGGACACTCTAAGGAAGGAGCAGGACCAGAAGAAGGCGGAAGACCAAGAACCTGCTCAAGGAGCGGAACGAAGTACGGCCGCGGCCGCGCAGCGCCTCCAGAACCAGCAAGGACAGCACTAGCACCCCCAGCGTCAGCTCCAACCCCAGCAGCACCACCAGCACCAGCAGCACCTCCAGTAGCTCCAGCAGCACCAACTCCAGCACCCACAGGAGAACCGGCTCCAGCAGCACCTCCAGCTCCAGTACCGCCAGCAGCTCCAGCTCCAGCAGGACCACCGGAAGACGCAGCAGCTCCGGCTCCACTACCACCAGACATAGCTCCCCCAGCTCCAGCACCTCCAGCTCCGGGGTCAACAGCTCCAGCTCCTCCAGGTCCAGCGCCTCCCGTGCCAGTGCCTCCAGCTCCAGCGCCAACAGCTCCAGCTCCTCCAGCTCCAGCGCCACCAGCGCCTCCAGCTCCAGTACCTGCACCTCCAGCCCCAGCAGCTCCAGGCTCCGTAGGGTATCCAGCTCCAGCGCCCCCAACACTACCAGGCCCGGCAGCTCCAGTACCCCTGGTAAGAGCACCTCCAGGACTAGTAGCTGCAGCACCTCCGGTACCACCAGCTCCAGCAGTAACTCCAGCACCTCCAGCGCCAGTGTCTCCAGCGGCAGAGTCTCCAGCTCCGGCAGCTCCACTCCGAAGGCGTGTGCGCTGGGTAAACCACTCGCGCAACTGCTGCGGGGAGAGAGGCTCCGGCCGGGGAGACAGTTGTGGCGAAGCACCCGCACCACCTCCAGAAGAAGCAGGACCCCGAGGCTCAGCACCCCCAGACTCAGCACCCCCAGGCTCAGTATTGGATGCACGTCATTTTGAGTGCATGTCATCCTAACGTCCTGCCGAGTGCTCGTGCTATTTGTGCTTGCATGATTTGCATGAGCGTATGTCATTATGCATGGCTGTTGGATATTATCATTTCTGTGTTTTTCTCCAAGTTTAAATGCTTGATCATGCAGGAGAAATCCAGAGCTTTCCAACGATACCAAGATCGCCTTATTCCGACCAAGATCGCCCAAGTTACAAGATTTCCAAGACTTGGATTTCTTATTACCTTTTGGGGTTATATATAATTTGGGTGATTACTTGGGACATGACTATAAAGGGATCTTTGGTTGGATGGTTAGGGAAGGCAACTTTGACTTTTGGATTGTGGTGGCTAGAAGTTTCTAGCATGGGTTGCAAATGTTGCAACACCTAGGCAAAATCCAACTAGATTGGATTTTGTATGTGACACCTCAAGGACCTCAGGATGAGGGTTGCATCCTTGCTGCTAGGAAGGTTCCTACCATCCTTCCCAATCTCTTGGAGAAACCCTTCCCTCTCATGGTTCTTTTGGAGTCCCCAACTCCAACATTCTATGCCTTAATGTTTGTACTTCCTCTACCATTCTAGTTATGCGGCTGCTGGACGTTTTTACTTGGTTCTCACTCTATAGATCATCTTAACGACTGATTCAACTTGGAGATGGTAGCTTAGGCTAAGGCGCACAATCCTACCGAGCGGATTTGCGTTTAGTTGAGAATTGAGTTCGTCGTAAGCTCTCAAAGTGACGGATCCTGAACAACAAGTAGTATCAGAGCGGGTAGTCGACTTTGAGACGACGAATCGTCTCGACCTCTCAACCAATGTTGACGAGTGAGACCAGTTTCTAGTAGCTCTGCTTGGGAACTTTCGATTGGTGGTCGAACCGCGTTCCAATTCGAAGTATATAGTCCGCGACGACGTTTTTCGTAGAATCGAAACTTCTGGCAGAATTCTCTCCAAACGATTTCTCAAGTTTCCACCGTTCATAAGGCCTCAATATGACTGGAACGGACTCTAGAGGTGCTAATGGCGAGATGGCTGGAGCTAGAGAGGCTGGAGAGCAGGGGGGAGTTGCTGGTGGTGGAGTGGGAACTCACCAACCAGCCAACCCTACGCTACCTACTTCTTCTACACCATCTCCTACTACCGTGGATCCTGTGAAAGCTTTCTCTATTAAGAAATTCATGGGGGAGGACTACGAGCACTGGAGTTTCTGCATGAGGCTGATGTATACCCAATACAAGCTATTGGATCTGGTGGAGGGGAAAGAGAAGATGCCGGAGGCCGCGGAGCTGAAAGGAGCATGGATGAAGCGATCGTTCGACGCGTACATGCTCATGGTGCAAGCGGTTGGCGGACGACAACTTGACCACATCAATGACCTCTTAGGTGATCCAGAGTGTGGCCCCAAGGCTTGGAGGAAGCTTCTGGATGTGCACTCACCGACACATGCTACCGGCATCGTGCTACTCGCGCGGCGGCTGCGCGACATCAAGTTCGTTGATGGAGAGCCGATGCAACCGGTGTTGGATGAGATGCGGGACATCTTCACGAAGCTCCAAGGCGGCGGTGTGGTGTACCCGGAGCTCGTGCAATGCGTGGAGATCGTGATACGGCTGCCAGAGTCGTGGTCTGCCCTAGCGATCAATGTCCCTCGCTGCTTGATCTTCCCTGATGTCTCCAATACGTGGAATATCCATCACCCCTAACCGTTGTGGCAGTGGACGTGTGTGGGTCGTACTTCAAGAACCCCTGCTACGTGGGCACGTGCATCAACGATCTCAAGGGCTCCTACTCCTGCATCTGCCCTCCCAACCACATCGAAAGAGTCACACTTTACGGCTTCCCCACCTGTGATCCAGGTGATGCTTCATTGCTCCAAGTTTCTGGCTCAAAAGAACAAACAAGAAACAAAAAACAGAGCCCTTCTTCAAATGGGACCTCTTCTCCCCAACCCAACGTTACTCCTTCTTTCCGTCGTTTCTCTGTACCCAACGTTCTACAGCGAATTCCTCAGCTACCGACATGACAGTTACTGGAGACAACTGGCAGTGCTCAGATGTTTCTGCACTTGTTGGCCTTTCATTGGAAGGGTTCTATTCTAACAATGCGGTAAAGATTGGGCTCACGAGTGGTCAAGGTTTTGTTGGCCTCGCCTATCTGGTTCTAATGGTACTTCATTGACATATTGTTCTTTCATCTGAAACATTGCCGATGTTCTGCATTTTTGAGCTCAGGAATGTGAGTCAGATCGGACTCAAACCACTTTTTGATGCAAATGTTGTGTTCCACAATGCAGGAGTTAGATTGCAACCAGCCATTGCCCAAGGGCAGTGTCCTTCAGCTGGGTGGTACTCCTGAGATACCTTGCACTGCCTTCTTCTACGCCCTCAAGGTGAGGGAAGGTGGTGCCCTCTTGATTTCTCCGTTGTGTGTAGTGGTCTTAACGAGCTAGCCTAGCTAACTTACATCCAATAGTATTCAGCAGCACGTGCACTCAACACGTGCTCTCTCCATTGTCCAACTTCCCAGGGCGACACCTGTTCATACATCAGCACCCAGCTCGGCTTGGGTGGGGACGATCTTGCCAAGCTCAACCCCGGCCTCGACTGTTCGCCCAGTGGCATCAAGGCGGGCCAGTCAGTGTGCATCGAGCGCAGCAATGCTTTCGCTTACACTGTACCTGAGTGTCTGAGATACGACACGCTGACAACGGAAGACACGTGTGAGGTGCTTCTTCGAAGGACCAGCAAGGAGTCGGGTGGGGCTGTCAATGGAAGTAACTGGGCTGAGCTGTACCACACCAATCCCGGCCTCACATGCTCCAGCGCCATCCCTAGCAACATAAAATTGCAGGTAAGGGCTTAAAGGGCATATAATTGGGGATGGGAAGGGAGGGAGAGATAGGAGTGCAAAGTGGTGGACAATGGTAATTCTTGGTACATTAGTTCTGTAATGTGCCACAAACCTTGGGACTTGGTGAATAGCAGTTTTGGCACTACTGTGTTTGCTAGCAGTCTCTTCCCTGTCAAGCTTTTTGAACAATTTTGCCCCGATTACCATTGCCTCTATTCTGCATTCTTGTCACAGCTAACTTCTCAAGTTTGGCTTTCATGTCTCCTGTTGTGCCAGGTTTGTCTGAGGGCAGAGTATTGGTCATTTACAGCAAGCATCATTTGCAAAATGGGCAAATCCAAGAAGGTGAACATCAAAGATTCGTGTTCAAGTGTTTTTGTTACAGGTTGGTTTACAAGTGATGCCCAGTTCGCAGAATATAATGGCAAGAGTTGCTCTAGTACTGTAGGTAGCAGGTCCATATGTGTACCCAGTTGAGTTGTAGCGCAATAGGGTCATCACAGGTCTTCTGGTGCTTTTGATTTGATTGGCAGACGTCATTTAGAGGAAATTTCTGCTTTTGTTACCGTAATCACCCGGATATACCGGTACCAACCCCTGCGATTAAAGCCCCCCTGGTTTGCTTATGCGGCTGGGGGCAGCTTGTTTTGCCGGTTTCTGTTATCTTTCCCCCACCCCCCCCTCCTCCTCCCCCTCTACCCCCTTGGGCAAAATCATTATATTATAAGACGCTCCTTTTCTTACATATCATTTTATACCGCGTCACCCCGATATAGGCGTAGGCCTATGATAAGTGCATGCGCTTCTAATTGGCACAGTGCACTTATATCCACCCCCCCTGGAACACCGTGACTTTTTATAGGCGTACCCTAGTTGGTTTGTTTTTGGTTTTTAAGCTATTATTACAAAGTTGCTTCGCTACAAGTTTAAACCTACATCTTATGTTGCTATCCAGGGCACATCCAAACAGTTTAGCACTGATATTGCATTTCAGGGTACATGTCAGTTATCAATCTCGACTACAAACTAGGGACCTCTATCTAGCTAACTAGCTGCCTATGCTAGTAGTTTCTTAGCCTACTCCGGTTCCTCGTTAATCGGGCTTCTTGTTAGACTCTGGCTCGTCACAGTTGTTGCTCCAGAAGCCATTTGCAGCAAACTCGTCATCGACTTCAACTTCAACTGGCAAGGTGTTCCTGGTGTGTGCCATGCAAAGATGGTCCCCTGACTCATTGAGGGCATTGCTTATCCCGCATGTGATGAATGTC